GCTTATGACTATTTTGGTAGGTATGGTGTTTGAACATTTGTCATACCCAAGATTCAGTATGAAATTTAGTTGTCATGGTAACAGTGTGGGGGGGTGGGACCTGTGCGAGACTCAATCTAGCCACAAGGACTTCATCCCTAAGGGCGTTACTGCTGTCATTACAGAAGGACTGGGAATCCCCCTTTGTCTCTTGGACCCTCTGCTTTTCATCAGGGGTGATGCAACAAGGGATACCTTGATGTTTCCAGTCTGCAGAACTGTTAGCCTCCAGTTTCCAGTTCATTTTAAATCATACAATCTATGGTGTTCTGTAACAGTAACACAAGGTGGACTGAGTCAGAACATCCACATATTCAGACATTGATCTTCAAAGAACAACTCTCCTTTATGCTTAGATATGTCTCTGGACATGTCAGTACATAATGGAGCCAAACCAGCTTTCTACCAAGGAGCCATTGTGCGTGTGGGAGGTTGTCACCCTGGACTTCACGTTTCTTCAAAATACCTTTATTTCTGGGAATGAATTGTCCTTGCTAGTTCCACATAGTATGCTAAAAAACAGTTCCCACATTTCGAATCATTACCAAATTTCAAAATAAAGGACCATGGCTCTGCTTCTCCCAGGAGTGCTCGGCTTCTTAACCAGGTCATTCCTGTAACATGGTAACCAGGACGGCCATCACCTACATGGAGGTACAGGCGACTGCACCCTGGATTCTGAGTAGAAAGTGTGTCCAGACTACAAGGAGTCAATCTGGCCATCCTTCCAAAATACAACGAACATCTTCTACAAAGTGATTTCTCTGCTGCCTCTTCCTCGAAATGGCTAGAAAAACATAATGAAGTGTAACTTGAGGGTGACATTCTGACTTTTCTGTTCCTGGAAACAGACAGAATATTACCTTCCTATGGAGTTGGCAGCATTATTACCTTCCTCCTATGGGGAAATCTGTTTGGATTTGGGGAATTTTACAGCTGAAGACATACTTCTTTATTTATCACCCCTTCTAAACTTCACCTTCATTATGCAGATGAGGCAAGCTGTGATTCTTGCCTCATTTGTGCTCAGATGTCCCGGTCTTTTCAAAACTACATAACAACGGGAAGTAGTAGATATAAGCCCACAGCTAGCTAAAGAAGCAGTTTGAGTGATACTGCCTATGAAATCCCAGGTCACGACCAGGATCCACTCCTGGTCCCATGGGGCCTTCTCACTTCTGTGGGCTCTAAGGTGGAGAGTGTCTCATACAAATGTGGATGGGGCTTGAAGAAATCTAGCGGTGAGTCTCTGTATTTTAGTTTTCCATCAACTCATCCCAGACCTCAGTGAGCCATCCTCGGGGCTGGAGAGCGGAGTGGATGTCTGCTTGGAAGTTCTGATTATTTAACAAAGCTCAGCGTTGGGGGGACACCTGTGAGTCACGTTCTCGGGATGGGTCGGCGGTCAGCCCATAGGAATGGGCCCTGGGTGCTGTTGTCTTGGATCTCGGTGCTTTGGGTCTGTGTCAGATGAACACACGTTGCAATCTAGGCTTACAGAACCTTCCAGAGCTAGAGGAGTGCCCAGCAGAGGAGGGTCACACACTTGGGGGTGCACAGCTGTGTTAAGTCATCATGTGCCTTATTTTGCAGTCTAGGAGAAGTAACAAGATAGAGCTGTTTCTACGCTTGCATTCTATGCTGAAAGTCCATATTAATCTGTTGGAACATTGGTACAACAGGAGACAGTGAAGAGCGCCTCTCTCCTCCTGTGCCTTTTGCTCTCACCTCTGTTTCCTCCTTTCCTGACTTCTTCTCCTCCTACCACACTTGCTTTCCACCTGTCTTTTAGTTCCCTTAAAGCTCTCACTGGACTCCTCCTTATTTATGGTTCCAACTTTGACACCCCTCCCGCATGACACACACACACACACACACACACACACACACACACACACACACACACACACACACACACACACACACATGGATTTGATTTCTAGTTGTCAAGTATTATGTAAAATGCCTCCAGAAAGTAGAGAATAGAAACAGCAAATAGCAGACAGTGGCTCATCCCTCAGTACCTAGTAGTGGGCAGCATCTCAAGGAATGGGTTTGGTCTTGAAGGACAGTGGTATGTACTTCCATCGTCTCTGTGTGTTTGAGGCCTGGGCTAGAAGGAGATCATGGATGATAGGCGTGGGCCCTTTATGGCTGAAAAGGAAGTCTGTACAAACCGAGCAACACATGCAGGACAATAGATTTCAGGAAGTGGCTTTGCTTAGGAGGATGAAGAAATAGCTTTTTCTTCAGGATTCTGGGAAGAGGGAGCAAAACATGGATGAATTGGCCCATGCCTGTAGGGAGGCAGAGATAGGAGGATTACAGTCCAGTGTCAGCCAACGTAAAATGTGTGAGACTATCTGAAACCAAAAAGGCTGGAGGCCTGGCTCACGTGGCAGGGGGCCTCCCTAGAAAGCAGAAGGCCCTGAGTTTGAATCCTACATCACCTCAACCCCCCAAAGAAGAGAGAATAAAGATGTTGGGGCAAGGTGTCCAAATGTGGATTCTTCTTTTAACTGAGGAAGAAAGGATGCCAATGGCACCATGCAGGAAGATTGCCTCTACCATGACCATGATCTGAGCATGCCTTGTGATGGGTGAGCCTTCCTTGCAAAGATACTTCTGCTTGTTGGTCTATCCTTAGAGATGAGCCTAAGAGAGATGCCTTACTCTGGGCTTAATGGAGCATTTTAGGATTTAATGATCTATAGTAAACCTCAGTAAGCATAGCTGGATCTCCAGCTGTGCAACATCAGAATCTGTACAACATCAGAAAATTTTCATTTCCTTAAAGATGTGACAGATAGACGTGTATTCTGAAGAAAGTACTGAGCACTTTAATCTCTACAGACACAATGAAAAATTTCATAACAGTGTACATGGCAGACTTGGTTTGTGCCAAGTTGTAAGGTCTTGATCTGTTTTATCCTATTTATGCCCGCTGTACTCCTAGGAGATGAGGGTGGACATGCCTATTTTTCACATAGAAAGCTGCTGTTCTAAGAGGTGACGTCACTTTCCCAAAAAGGCAAGTGATTGAACTGTTGTGCCTGCTGTCCCTCCTGGCAGCAGACGGCGCACGCCGCTCTGACCTCCAGAGAACTCACCCCATCCATCCTCTGCCACACTGTCAGTCTGGCTTATAGATCAACCAGGCCCTGACAAGGCTAGGCCAAGGGCTGGGGGTGGGGTAGCAAATGGAAACAGCATAGTATTTGTACACAGTCATTTCTATTTAAAATCTGTATCGATCTGAATCCAACAGGTCTCCAGAGGCCGCATCAGGCTGGTGATTTTATTTCCTTCCCGATGAAGGGCGGATTAGAGCAGGTGCATCTTAACAGCCTTGGGAACAACTTGGGATTTTATGTGATTCTGTTTCCTGTTCTAAAGTTACTCATGCATCCCCTTAGATGTCACCACACATTGGGTGGGCACAGAGACCATTAGATCTCTTACTATTTCCAGGGCACTCAAAGCCATCTGAGACAGGGGCGTCTGAGAAGTTTTTCTTTGCTCTTGTAATGGATTTTTGGTGACTTTTGTCTCCATGTGAATCATACAGTTTATGTATTTGTGTATGCATACACACACCTATATGTATGTGTGTGTATGTATTTATTTTTTGTTTGTACTATACTTTGAATTCAGGATCTTACGATTGCCAGATAAGCGAGTACTCCACTGTGTAAGCCACTACCCTCAATCCTCTTTTAATTTTTCTTTATTTTTTTTAAAATGAAGTTTGGTGCATTTTTTTCCTGTGACTTTCCTGGGTCATAGTATTCCTCATTATGACCCCACATAGCTGGGATATATCACTGTACCCTGTCCCATTATGGCAAGTTTTATTTGTTGAGTTTAAAGTCTTGGTACCTTTTTCCTTTTAACCTAAGCTGGCCTTGAGCCACCGCAGCTCCAGGTAGCTGGGGTTATGGGTCTATGCCAGCACGCCTGGCTCTCTCTTGTTTTTCCACTGTGCTTCATAGAGGACTGACACTTTGCTAGGAAATTATTCATTCTTTTTCCCCTCGACCCCAGGGATTGAACTCAGGACCTTATATTTATCAGGCTTATATTGTGCTTTTTGAGCCATACTTCAAGCTACACACATTCTAGTTTTCTTTATAGATATAGTTTCCAGTTTGTACCTGGCATGGCCCACGCCATGATCCTCTAATCCCCCCTTTGCACGGCTGGGATATGTATAATTCAAATGGAGACAAAAGTAGCAAACGAATCAATCACAATTACAAAGAAAAACTACTCAGCTGTATACCGCCACACCCATCTCAGTTCTGAGACAGAGCCTCATAGACTTTTGTCTGGGCTAGTCTGAACCACGCTCCTCTTGTCTCTGCCTCACAAGTAGCTGGGATCACTGGCATGTGCCACCATGCCTGGCCTGAAATTGGAGTGTTACATATTCATCCAAGGCTTTATTTTCTCACTTACTGAGTAGTCATGAGGATAAATCTACACTATACCTAGACATATAGCAGTGTCTTATCTCAGGCTGGTGGAACAAAATACCATAAACTAGTTAGGCATATGATAAACATAGAAATAGGTTGCTTCCACTTCTGAAGGCTAGACGTCTGAGATCAAGTGCCAACCTGGTCAGGTTCTGGTGAGGGCTCCCTCACAATAGCGAGGAAACAGACATGCTCTTCCCTCTTTTATTCCCCATTCTTGTTTCTAGGCGGGGGAATATGGAAGCACTCACGGACAAGGGAGCATTTCAACAAGGCATTGAACAAGGTTCTCAGCGACGCAGCCCACCTCTGTGAACACCGGTCTCGACATGGTGCTGTCTGATTCATCATCTGTGATCTTAAGTGTTAAGCTTTGGGAATGTTCATGGCATTTCAGGTCCTGGCTTTGGTGAGACCGGATAGACACCTGATGAGACTGCAGGTATAGGAGCTCATGGGCTTTTGCTCATTCGTGTTTTGCAGAGAGCAACAGCGTGAATTCAGCCTGTGTCTACGAGAGCACTGTGCACAGCCGCGTCTTCCAGATCTTGTACAGGAATGAAGAGGTGCCCATAAACGATGCTGTCCTCTTCCGAGCTCATTTGCTCTTAGACGGTGAAAGGGTAAGTCGTGAATCTACCATCGGGAACAAGTGTTTCTTCCCCTGACCGTTCCCTCTCATCCTTGGGTAAGTGGTGAGTGACAGAGAAGCTAAAGATGGACTCTGAATTCTGACGGACAGGGATTTGTGAGTTGGAACATTTGTACATTTACTTATGCATTCATTCATGTGTTTTTACTCATCCTTCCATTCACACACTTGCTCATTCTATGAAGTCCCAAGATAGCAAGACTAACTTGCCACCTCTCACACTCACTCCCCACTTGCCCATGTGTGCATCTGTTCAGGCGCTCTGTCCGTGAATCTGTCAGCAAATGCTTTTGAGCATCTCCATTGTGCAGTGCCTTGAGCTAGGCCCTGGCCTAGGAGACAGGATTGAAAAAGGCAGCAAGGCCTTACGTTCAAGGGATTAGTAGTTGAGCAAGAAAACAAATGGGTCAGCAGGTGCTAGGCACTAAACTAGATGCATGTAAGAAGAAGTCAAAAGACTCACAGTATGGGAAAATGAGCCTGAGATGACAAAGTTGGTATGTGCCAGCTGTTTCCCAAGGGAGCTGGCTTTCAGATCAGGAAAAAGGGAGGGATGTGCGGCAGAGGGGAGTGGACACAGATGACCCCTGGAGGCCTCCAGGGGAGTCCACACCACTGCTCCTTTCCCGGTCCCCCTCTCAGACCCCGCTGACACGCGTCAGCTGATGGTTTCCTGGTGGAAGACCATTCCTCGTGGGGAAGAGTGCTTCTATTCCAGGAAGCTTTCATTAGAGTCCCCCCCATTCATAGTCCCCAGGTGGCGTGTAGAATTCTAATTGAGTACTTGTTCTCTTTTGCCCATTTTGTTGAGTGGCTTTTTGTCTATATTTTCTATGAATTGGATAGTAGACAAGTTCTCCTTGGTGGACAAAAATAAACGGTATCACTTAATCTTAATCCATTTATCAAGCCACTCATATTTATTAAGGTTTATTAAATACCCATGATGTGCATATTATGTGCTGGAGATAACATAGTGAACAAGAGAATATTCCTGGTGCAGATCAATATGTCAGGTATCTTGCCCCACCGTTCCATTTTAATTCTATCCAAGTCTTGCTCTTGCCCTTCACAGTTTGACCTTGTGAGATCCAAACATGTTTGGAGGTCAAACAGGAAGTGTGTATCACAGGATCTATTATTTCCTTCTGCATGTCAAAGTATTCATTACTATAAGCTAGTAATTTATTGTTGTGTGAGCAGTGATTAATGGCAGTGAACAATGTCACAACTAATCGTTATATCCAAATCAGTGACAATTAAAATTAATTGGATATGTCTGTTAAAGAAACTGGAATTTTAAATAGTACCCTGGCTCATTTCCAATGCAGAGCTATCTGTTCATGGCAACCAAAGCACTGTTTATAACCCAGTGACCAGGAAGCATAGTCAAAGTGCATTTTGTTATCATCGTGAGTCACAAACACTTACAGAATGGACATTTATCCAAGAGCATATGGAGCTGAAGATCAGCCCATGCAGTTAGGCAGCAGGTGAACTGAAGAGTTGACCACGCAGAGAAGTCAATGGATAAAGACTACAAAGAGATGCTTGAATAAATAATACTGGCAAGCTGAGTTTGGAAGGAGAGTGGATATTTTATTTATGTATTCAATGTAATCCCACTGCAGATCTGAGAAGGCTTACAGAAAACATAGAATACTTCAAGGAAAAGAATAGTAATAGAATGAGCCAGAGAAGAGGACAGAGAAAGGCAAGGCTAGGCAAGGCTGGAGTAATGAGAGCAGAACAGAATGCAGAAACATCCTCTGGTGCTGGCTAAAAGTGACCCACACATAGCTTACCTCCTTGCAGACAAAGTGAAGAAGAAGATAAAATAACTAACCAGCAGATGTTTATTGCTCTCATGAAGAAGACCGGATTGCTTGGGGAAAAAGTGCTTTATTCTGTGAACAAGATTGCAAAAGGGGTAAAAATAAAATAAATGAAAGGCATGTCCTCCAAAGTGAGGGACCTTGATCCACCCACATCTTGCAACCGGCCTCTGTGCGGATGAAGATTCTTGACCTACTACATGCCCTAGTGATTCAGACAGAGGATGTGAGGCAGTGATCGGGCTAAGAGGTTGGTTCATTAGGCTTGTGTGGGGTTTCTACAGAAAGCAGGGAGTGCTTGTGAAATCGAGGATAGTCATGCACCGGAAAGCAGGAAAATAGCAGGAAGATCTGGGGAAGAAATCCTCACTGCGTGAGAAGTAATGCAGGTAGAGACCTAGAAAGCACTGCCAGAGACACAGCATAGGGGAACCAACCACAGGAACCTCACGGAAGGCTACGTGCTTGCTTTGTCCTGTAGAAGGCCTCCCAAACTCAGAGACCTGGGGTTAAAGGAAGGTCGTGTAGGCACTCACATGAGGAGGGAGGCTGAGGCCTGGAGAAGGCGTTTGCTACTGCTGTGCCCGAGAGTGTCGCATGTATCATGGCAGATACTGGCGGGTGGTCAGAAGCCAAGCGAGCAAAAGAGAGAGGTGCATGGGAGCAAGAATGGCTAAGGAACTGAGAATGTGGCTTAGTGACAGACCGTTTGCCTGGCATGCCCGAAACCCTGGGTTCCATTCCTCAGTACCACATACACAGAAAAAGCTGGAAGTGGTGCTGTGGCTCAAGTGGTAGGTATGCTAACCTTGAGCAAAAAGAAGCTCAGGGACAGTGCCCAGGCCCTGAGTTCAAGTCCTATGACTGGAGGAAAATTAAAAAAAAATAGAATGGCTCATACAACTGGGTTCACAATTAAGCCTAACGGAGGCTTCCACATGGAGATGTGTTGATGGAAGTTGACTGTAAGGCCTGGATTTGAGATGGCCCTGTAAGTGCCATGGTGAGCCCCGTGCAGGAGGGCTAAGGGAGGTTGGGCAGGAGCATGCTAGGGGTTCATCTTTAGCTGTAATAACCACAGCGGCAATCGTAACACTAACAGCATCTTCCACTGCTTAGGGGGGTGCTGTGTGGCAGGCACTGTGCTTGATAATTTCTTCTTGGTTCACGGCCATAGTATTGTGGGGTGGTATTTTTGTTTTTTACTTGATGTTATCATGAAAGTGATGTACAGAGGGATTGCCGTTACATAAGTCAGGTAATGAGCACGTTTCTTTTGGAACAGTGTCATCTCTTCCTTCATTTTCTCCGTTTCCCCCTCAACTCCCCCCCCCATAAATTGTATAGTTCATTTTTTAATTTTATTGTCAAGGTGATGTACAGAGAGGTTACAGTTACATAAGTAAGGCAGTGAGTAAATTTCTTGTTGAGCTTGTTACCCTCCCTCTTTCCTTCCCCATTCCCCCTCCCACTGTAAAGTTTGTTCTAGCATACTGTCTTGTGAATTTTGCAGTTGCCTTGGTTCCCGCTTTGTCCTTTGTCTCACCATCTTTTTTGTTCCACTTCCCTTCGCTAATTTAGATAAACATATACAATACCAGGGTACCAAAATACAGTGACAACAGAGGAGAGGAGAAACTGCAGCAGGGGGACACAAAAGAAATCACATAATACAAGGTGGCTCAGTGGTAGAGCGCTCGCCTTGCATGCCTGAGGCCCTGGGTTCGATTCCTCAGCACCACATAAGCAAAAAGAAAAAAGCCGGAAGTGGCGCCGTGGCTCAAGTGGTAGAGCGCTAGCCTTGAGCTGAAGAGCTGAGGGACAGCGCCCAGGCCCAGAGTTCAGGCACCATGACTGGCAAAAAAAAACCAACAAAAAGAAAAACCTCTTGTGTCCATGTCTTGGCGTTCATTTCGCTTAGTATCGTCCTCTATGGTCATATGCACATAGTGTCTAGTGAGTATCACTGCTACATGTGTTCACCCTTCGTCCCACCATTTCTGTGTTCCCCTTTTCCTTCCCCAAATCAGATGAACTTCCATACAAGGCAAAAGGTACAGAAATAAAAACAATAGCAAATGAGAGAGAAAAAAAACAAAAACCAAAGAGCAGAATATCATAAAACCTCCTAACACCCTTCCATTTCTTGGGCTTCATTTTGATAAACATCTATTAGTCTCATTTTATGGATGAGGATATGAAGAGTTAGAGTTATTGTTTCTCTCAAAGCCATACAACCAGGAAGTGGTAAAACCAGGGATCCAACTTAGGGCTCATGGGAGTTTCTGGGGCATGTGTAGTTAGGATGGCTGCCTGGTGTTGGAGAAAGGGAAGATCTATTACACATCCACCTTCAGAAGAAAAGCAGAAATATTGCAGCAATCATTCACATTATTTTTTTAGAATTGTAAGGTCTTCATGCATGCTTTCTTATTTAGTGCTCACACTTACAAAGCTATGGATTAAGGGTAATAATCTCACTTCCATTTTACATATGGGAAATGATGGAGATGTTGATTCAGGGTGGGAAGGAGGATTTTCACCTTTGCAGCCTGATGTCAGAAGATAGCAGTGTGAAGGATGGGAGACAAGGGGAGGAGGAGGAAGATAATGAGAGACACTGGGACATGCGGAGGAGTCTATGACCTGAGAAAGACTTGAGCATGGAACTGAGCCAGAGATGCACTGCCCATGAAGCGGAGTCTAGCACAGGGAAAGTGCTTCGTATTGGAGCTTGAGCTTGAGACTTTACTGCAGGGAGTCTCAGCCTCCTCATTTAAAAGAAGAGGAAAAATATTTCTTCATAAGTTTATCCATATCTAGTATGATAGCACACTACAATGCTAGCTTTTTTGTAGCAAATTGTAGTTCTTTCTTTAAAGTATGTTGTATCTTATTTGCTGTTGATATTTCAGTTACATGAGTAAGGTAATGAATACATTTCCTTTTGAGCATTGTTACTCCCTCCTTCGTTTTTCCCCTACTATCCCTTCCCTCCTCACCTCCCCAACTCCTCCCCCCCTGTGAAGTTGTATAGTTTTCAACATAGTGTCTTGTACATCTTGTACATAGTGTCTTGTTACAGTGGGTTAACCTGTATTGTTATTATAAAGGTGGTGTGCAGAGAGGTTCCAGTTATATGTAATGCTTTTATAAGTGTTAATTCTAGTTTAAAATTTTTCCCTTCCTGGTGAGGAGAATATCATCCATAGAAGGAGATGATATCTTTGCCTTTATTTTAAAATGAGACAGAATAAGTGAAAGGTGTGTTGTGTGCTTGTGTGTATGTGTATGTGTTTGGAAGGAAGGGCAGGTAATGAGCAACCACTTGTGAAATGAATGGTCAGAAAGGTCAGTGGCTTCATTCTAGATTGTCTTGCAATCCAGATTAATGAGGGGCCTCACAGCCAGGATCTGCATAGCCACAGTTCCTAGGAAGCTGCAGGAGGGTCAGCCTCAGTGAGTTCTCCTTCCCAGACTAATGCATTCTGGGAGGATGGCTGGGGGGACAGGCCTTTCTTTGCCAGTCTTATTTCCAAGGAACTTGTGGCAAGAGACTGTGTTGACTTTCCTTGTGTATACGAAGTGAAAGATGTGACTATGCAAAACAAAGCTAAGAGCAAGTTATTTATAGTACTTGGTTTCAGCCAAATGTTAGCTATTAAGGCTTTTAATTTAAAAAACAACAAATTTTAAACCCTAAAGATAAATTCCATCCGTATGTCTCTGCCTGAATTGTGATTAACTGGGAAGACATTTTCAAAGCAGCTTTTGGAGGAGAGATTTCCATTCCTGAAGGATGAGCACATTCTTGCAAAGCAACAGAAGCCAAGAAAAAAAATGAAGGGATTAGGAAGAGTTTTACTAATAAAAAAAAACGCATTGACATTTGTTCTGCAGTAGGACCTGGTCCTGAACTCAGGGTCCCCAGTGAGGAACCAGCAGCGCTTCCCTTAGTGATGCCCAGATTAAAAGTGAGTAAAACCCCATGGCCCTGCTAATGATGCCAGGTTAGTGGGGACATATGGAAAGAAAATAGTTTTTCAGCTGTAGACCAGGTGGATATTTTCAGTGACTGTCACAGATGCAAGAATTGCCTGAACGGAACACAGCTAACAAGCACTAGTCTTATGTTGCTAGAACCTGGTGTTTTTCACTCTGCAAGAAGGTATAGACTTGTAACATCAATATAAAATGACCTGAAAGTTTTTTAGCTTAAAAAAAAAGATTTTAAGAAGACAGGATGAAGACTACACAAAACATTGTTGCAGAGAACATTTGGCTCATGGGCTTTCAGCCTACAAATTTGAAAAGAGAAATCACTGGCATTGGAAGCATCCAATGGTAAGACAGGAAAGAAGCGTGGAGCTCTGTGAGTTACAGAGGCTGCTTGCACTGACTGGGCCAGCACGGAATAGAAGGAAAGGTGAAATCTGACCCTTGGCATGCGAATTTCCCTGAATATGAGAACAGAAGAAATACGACCATGCTCATCTTTGGGTGTATGTGAAAAGTACAGACCATTTTTGGGAGTGGTGGTGGTGGTGTTATTTTTAAAGCTCAAGGTGAAAGGATGGGAAATATTTAAGGGGAGGTTCTTGGATCACCAATGATTTCAAATGTAGTGAATTCCAAGGCAAAACTTAAAGAGGTTTGCTTTCTTACGAGCTTGGTCCAGCTTGGAAATGACTTCATTTTCTTGGGTACTTCTTCTTCAGCATGAGAGCACTGGTGTCTGCCAGTGATGGCACCGGAGAAGTCCCAGTTTGGGACTTCTGTCCCTTGCTGGCTAACTTGGGCTCTGTGGCTGCATCCTTCCCAGCGAGGGGCTATGGGCCCCTTGTTCCTGCCTAAAAGAATTCCAGGTCAAAGCTTTATTTGAGAAACAAAGCTTTCAAAAGTCCTCAAATAAGGACCCTGGTTGAATCCTTTTTGAAAATATGCTTCTCCCAGATGGGCTGCATAAATCCTTCCCTTCCACTTAGCACTAATATTCCCAGATGTCCCGTTCCTCCCGAAGTACGTGGGGCATGCATGTCGGACCTGCCTTAGGCACAAGTGGCATTGATTTTCACGCTGTGATTTCCGATTCTCTTCTTTGGGAAGTAGACGCTCAATGCTTCATGTAGACAGGTGTTGACCCCTAATGGCCCTTGGGCTTTATTTCTTTTGCAGGTGGAAGATGCCCTGAGTGAAGTCGAGTTTCAGCTCAAGGTGGACCTGCACTTCACAGACAGCGAGCAGCAGTGAGTGTTGTGTAAATCCTACAGTTGTGGTAGCTGGTGTCTTCCTCTAGCATGTCCCATGCCTGGGCTGTGAGCCTCAGAAGGGGCCACAGATGCCCGGTTCCTACATCCTACCACTGATACTGCTGGCCGGAGCTTGGGCTGAGGGGGTCAGCCTGGGATCCTGAAGCTGTGCATGTTAGGCAGAAGCTCTGGTTCTACACACAGATGTCTCCTACTTTCTGGCTTTTTGAACCAGTAACTATTCATGCAAGGTAGGTTACAACAATCAAAGCAACTTCCGAAGGAGCGGACGTTCTCCCGTGATTTCTTGTCGTTGTACTGAATGTCTGCTATTATATTTCAACTCTCTGAAAATTGAAAATCCTTTTATGTATAACCTGCTGATTGAATAAGCAGGAGGCAATTCCTTGCCCCTCCCCCCCTTTCTTTTCTGTTTACTGCTTCCTTCAGGTTTGTCCTGTGGCCTCTTCCTCCTTCCCTGGGGTGAATAACATTTTAGTTACTGTACATTCTTTCAGGAAATAGATAGAGCATCTTTTTCTTAGGTATTAAAAACCATACACAAGTATGATTCCCCAACTCTGAAGTCTCATCAATTTTATAATTTCTTTGTTCATGTCCATTCTCCATGCAACCCTCAGATCAGGCTTCCATGGGCCCCGAAACTTCTTTCTCGTGGAGAAAAGATGAAGCAGGGGGCATTGTATTGCTTCCCTAGCATTCTCCTGTGCTGTAGTTTTTGAGTCAGGTACAGTGAGGAGAGGAAGGGGAGAGGGTTGGAAAATCTTATAGGCTGCTTATCAGCAGAGAAGCGGGGCTCCCTAACTGGCAGGTGGTCAGTCACCCTTAGGGTATCTTTGTGAATTCCTTGGGGATGTATGCATCCTCACTCAGCCCCAGCCTTGTCATTCTCTGATGTGGCCTTTTATGGCCAGATCACTTGTGTCTTGGAGGAACCTTGAGACAGATGCTTTCCCAGAGACCCTGTAATGTGGCTGCAGAAGATGCAGTTATGCAAATCCTGTCCCACAGATATGGGGAATCCCTTCCTTCAAGTCCACTTCTGTTACAGTGGGATGGGGAATCCCTTCCTTTAAGTCCACCTCTGTTACAGTGGGATATTCAAGTTTTCCCTGGCCTTTCTCCTGAGGGCATGTTCATGACCACCGGGGGACAAGACCTGTCTTTCCACAGTTCGAAGCAGTAGAGGGCCAACTCCCAAGATGAAGAGATGCAAAAGGGTTCTTTTACCTCCATTTTGATACCAGAATCTCGATATCCATTGGCCACTGCTCTATAAAAATGAACCTTCATGCCAAGTCTCTAAAACCTCTTCCTCCTTCCCTTTGGAAAATAGCAAACCAGGAAGCTGAAGTGAAAATACTGGTGAATGAATTTTCTCTTATCTTCGAAGTTGAGACTCCTTCTTAGGGCTTTCTGCACTTCTCAGGAATTGCTGAGATTGTCTCATCTGTGTAGTCTTTCTAACTGTTGTGCCTCATGTGGGGGTTAGGAAGGATTGAAGCAGGAAGGGTTGGATCAGGAAGGATCTCCACTGAGGAGTCAGACACATGGTGGTGACTGGGCATTGAGGACGGACATGGGTTAAAAGCGTAGATGTGGTGCCTGCTCGCTCAGTGGGGAGAGGATCTGTCCAGGGTCCTGATCCAGAATCTGCACTCAGTGCCTTAGACTGCGCCCTCCTGTCTTTATCGGGACCTGACTGGATTCCTGCTTCTCTCATCACATCAGCTCCTCCCTTGGTGGGATGGTAGAGGCTAAGAAATCCCATCTATATGCTCAGAATCCACACACCATGCTTGTGCAGGGAATCTCTTTCATCATCTTTCCAGTAACCCACTCGTTTCCTATGTCCTTATGCCAAGCTCATTCGGAGAGTTTTATCCACAGCCCCCCTGGCAGACACTTCTGATCAGCCATCAAACCCTGCTGCTGCTTTCAAATGGAGCTTAGAAACTGTAAACAATTTAAAGAGCTTTAATGATAAGCTATAGTGGACACTGTTACTGAGACCTTCTTGCCAGCAAAAGTGGGACTTATTGGAAATCCTATGTATAGGAAATTGGTCCTATCAAAGTCTATAAAATGCAGCAAGTTAAGCTGTTCACTCATCCACTATTAAATATAGAGCAAATGCCTGCATTTTCCCAGATCTCACTAGCCTTGTTTATGAAATAAGGATAAGGGTCATTTAATAAGCCTTTAATGAAGATGAAGAGAGACGTGTGTGTGTGTGTGTGTGTGTGTGTGTGTGTGTGTGTACAGGCAAGTGCACATTCTGCTAGATAAATGGCTTCTTCATCCGTATGTCTTATTAGATGTGTTGTTTCCTCTGTGTAACACAAAACACTTAATAACAACCAGAGCGGGGCCTTTCATGCGGCCTAAGATTATCTGAGAGAAACAGGAAGCCAGAGGCTGGGAAAATTGGAAATGCTGTATTTTTTTTCATTTTCATAAATTGGGTTTGAGGATGATAAGGTATGTGGAGTACATCCTTGGGGGTAGACATTAGGCTTTGAAGCATTGCTCTGTCAGCTAGCTTCCTCAGTGCTGGGTAGAAAACAACCCCAAAGGCACAGAGTGCACAAGACTGGACATCAAATACCAAGGCTGAAAGGCTACCAGTGTCCATCTTGCCCAGCCCACCCTGGTGAGGGGGAAGACGCTGCTCCTTGGGGCTTTTGGACATGTTCAAAGATATGGGCGGTGGTCCTGGATTCTAGCAGATAGAGATCAACGATGCTTCGGACACTTTATATGCATAGGTCAGAGCCTCCCCTCACAGCAGATCATGATTGATCTCCAAAACCAGTATCAACCCCTGCTCATACAAGGGAAGACAAGTGCTCCTCCCCAGTGTATCCTTCTCTGTCCCTCAGAAGCTCAGGCACATGGGAAATTCTTTCTTACCTTCAGGGAAGGCCGTCCTTGTGTTTTCCCCTTGTTTGATCTCAGATGTATTCCTGGTGAATGTCTGGAAAATACTCTCATTCTGGATAGCTCTTCAGATAAGAAAAGTTCTTAAGTTACACTTTAGGTCAAACATGGGAGCTCTCTCCCTGTGAGCATGATTTTTCTTGTTTACTATTTATTTAGTTAGTTATTTATGTATTTATGTATGTATTATTTATTTATAGTTAGATTTGGCTCCTTTACAAGAATCTAGGCATTTCTTCTCAGTGCTATCAGCTTTAACTCTGTCTTCTGTCTTCTCTAAGCTTGCTCTCTCTCTCTTTCTCTCTCTCTCTCATATACACACAAACACTGAATCTGAACTGAAGAATTCCATGTAAGAGCTCTATCCATTTCCAAGCCCAGTAGACAATTTCTGGCCTCCTTCATTCTTTCCTCCTACCAATGTGGTTTAAACTCTAGTTAACATTTTTTTGTATCTTGTCTAATTGAGGTATGTTTAACATCCTGTTGGCCACGCCTTAAGGATATTTCTGTGACTGCCAGGAACTACTGTGTGAATAAACTACTAAACGCTAACTCAGAACAGACTATGGTCAAAAAGGCCTCATCTGACATCCCAGTTTTACCTCATGATGTTGAACACGTTCATGGGCTCACGTTAATTACTTCCTCTTCTGCAAGTGGAGTAGTATTAGTAAACATTGTACTTGAGAGTCTTATAGAGGAAGGGAAAAAGCAGTTTGCAGTGAGGTCACAATAAATTGTGATCTGGATTAAACACATAATGTCTTTATGTGTTTATGAGACTCACAGTGTGGATCTTCAGTTCTTCCTTCCTCACCTTCATCCTGATGGGAGAGAAACTGTTCTGTGTGGTGTCTTTATGAAGTGATGCTGGTCCCCAGAGGTTTTGTGGCTCGTGGCATTTGTATGCACATAAGCAACAATGCTTCCAGGGGGCTTGGGTCCCTCTTCTCCTCTCCCTGTCTCCTCTTTCCTTACAGGTGGAGGACAGAAAAACATCTTCTCTGCTCTACTCCTGAATTATATCCATGTAGGCTTCCCACTCACCTTGCAGGGCTTGCGTGACAAGTATTCAGAGATTGAGATTCCAGCTGGCCAACACCTCTGGCGGCGTTTATTTAGAGACTGGATTGCTTTTGATAACCAAATATGCCATGGGGCCTTTTCTGCCAGTTGGCTCTTACTTAGGGCGAGACCCATAGCCATTACAAATGTTAAAAGCATGAGGGGCTCTTCCTAAAACTTGCCAGACTGTCTCAGCATTGTGCATTGGGAGTCATTCATGACTGTGGCCAGTAAAACAGTCAGCTGATTATTTTAATAGGCACGCGTGTGACAAACTTCCCCAGTTATGCTAGGGATTACAGAGATGCCGGGCTTCACAAAGCCAGGGTCATAGAACTCTAAGAGAAGCACAGAACTCAGAACTCAGAACATCCTTGCAAGATTCAGTGTTGGAGCATGGGGGAGGAAGGGAGGGGACACGAGGAAGGCAGGAGGGAGAGGAGGGCTGCACTGGAAGGAGAGCTGGGTATCATCATGGTCATCACTGAGGTGTGGGCTTGGTGGCAGTGTCAGCAGAGCCGAGCTCAGAGCTGCCACGTAGCCTTGATCTTCGCTTGCCCGACATGAGGAAGTGGCAGAATGTTCCATGGATCGAGTAAGAAGATGCGTGTCTGGTATATGGAGAGGCACTCCTGCAGACCATCACTCACGATGGTGCCCTCTCTTGCCTTCCAGGCTGAGGGAAGTGGCCGGTGCCCCGATGATCAGCAGTCGCACACTGGGTCTGCACTTCCACCCGCGGCGGGGTCTGCACCACCAGGTCCCGGTTATGTTTGACTACTTCCACCTGTCGGTGATCTCGGTGACTGTCCACGCCGCCCTGGTAGCTCTTCAGCAGCCCCTGATCAGGTATGAGGTCGGAGGCAGCCTGCAGGCATGGGGAGACACTTCCTATCACAGCGGGGCTGGAGTAACCCTGGGGGTCAGCCCCGGGCAGGTTTGCACCTCGGAGGCTGCAGGTTTAGGCTTGGGCCTTGCTGGGAGAAGCAGAAAAGGCAGGGGAGAGGGCGGAGAGCACGTGTCCAGCACAGGACCTGGGCACCCGCCCTCCAGCTCACACTGGGAGAACCTGGGTTCATTCCCAGCCTCTCACTTGGCCTTATCTGAGAAGTTACCTAGTGTTCCAGAGTCTGACTCTAAAACCGGAACTCGCTTGCGTGGCATCTTCATAAAGTTCTAGTGAGTTCCAGATGGGGCCAGCAGGGCTGGGCGCAGGATTCCAGCCTGGCTCACCTTCATGGATGACACTTGCTAAGATGCAAGTGTAGCTTTAAGATCTACCACCTTCGTTTCAGTGCAGGGTTCAGGGTGTGGGCTGTCTGCTCTGGAAGCAGAGGCGGTGGCAGGGATTCTACCCTGAGATCAGGGAGCTGTCCCGTGGAATGCCAGGTGACAACCTGATAGGAAGGAGAGCTTCCTTCCAGGCAGTCTGTAGCCCAGTCAGTGGTCCCCGTAAAGCTGGCATCAAGACCATCTTCCTGCCTAGCTGCACTACTGATTTCCTGGGGAGCTTTGAATAAGTCACCTGTCTTCTCTAAAACATCCGCTTCAACACGTAAACACCACACGGACAAACAAAACCAAAAAAAAAGAATGCTTTTAAAAAATAGGTTGTGGGCTGGGCACTGGTGGTTCACTCCTATCATCCTAGCTACTCAGGAGGCTGAGATCTGAGGATGGCGGTTCAAAGCCAGCCCGGGCAGGCAAGTCCCTGAGTCTCTTATGTCCAATTAACCACCAGAAAACTGGAAGTGGCTCTGTGACTCAAGTGATAGAGTACTCACCTGGAGCTGAAGAGCTCAGGGATAGCTCCCAGGCCAGAGTTCAAGCCTCACGACCAACAACAACAAAAACAAGGATAAGTCCAGAGCCACCCCAGTGGCTAAAACCTGCTGAATTCCAGGCACTTCAGGGCCTGTAAGAGACACAGAGATGCTGTGAGCTCCAGTTCAGAGTGGTACCTGTCAAATGGAAGCGGGGGAGATGTAAAGAATTGGTAGGTCAGAGTTTAAAAACATGAGCTTTAGGACCAGATAGGCCTGGGTAGTGACACGGAGCCCTACCTACATACTCTGAAGCACGGAGGCTTCAGCGACCTCCAGGGTTAAATGAGATCGTGCATATGAAGTCAATGGCCATGCTTTAATAGACTAATTTTATTTAGCATCTGCCACATTTCAGTCACTGGTCTAGGGACCACCTGTGTAGCACTAGTGAACAGTTAACAAATGGCAAGTATACTTCATCCTAGAGAGAGGCAGTTCTACTTGAGGCCTGATGCAAGTCTCTCTAGAAGAAATCGCCTTTGTGTTCCACCCAGAGGAAAATTAAAAAAAAAGAATTTGGGCAGGGTGGGGGGAGAGCGCAGCAAGGTTTTAATTTAAGGCACCATTAATGATGCACTAAGGAATTGCAAATGAGTTTATTATGTGTGAAGGCAGTGGAGGATTGAGCAGGGGTGACCCTAGGACCACACCTTCGATCACAGGCTTCCAGTTCACTGTAATGTGATTGGAATCTTGGTGACATCCTCCCCAGGACTTGGGAAGCTGGGAAATGTCAGCAGGGAGTTTAACCTGGACCAGAGGGCTCCCTCGTGCAAGTTTTCCTGCAGCAACCTCCTAGAAGAGGATTTTAAAAGCTGCAGCATGAGTTGGAACTTCTCCACGGATGGAGTAAAAATAGACTTGCCTTCCGCTCTGGAATCTGCAGCAAGTTTCTGCTTTAGTTCTTAGTATCTGGAGCAAAGGGAATCCTTTAAGTTCACGGGAAGTGCCTGTCAAATAGGGCAAGTGCTAGCTTTTCTAGGAAAGGTTTACATAGCATCAGTCAGATCCGGCAAGTACGAAGCAGGGGTGAAGTGAAAATGTCACCTCCAAAGACCTCAGTCTTCACTGAAACAGATGGAAGAGAAGGATCCAACTTTGAACCTTACTTGGTTTTAACAGTTTTTCTGGAGAGATCTCCATCCCACCGGGAAGGCTAGCTGAAGGTCACACTTAGGTAAATGACCAGCGTCAGATATGCTGACAGATACACATATCTGTCCTGTCTGAACTCCAGGAATGTTCTTTCTACATTAGTCTTCCAGCTTCCTGGTAAACTCATTTGAACTCTTCATTCAAAGCAAACCCTAGCCAGGTATCTCAAGAGGTTGAATTCTGGAGGAACTTGGCCCAGGCAGAAAAATCTTGCACCATTCCAGCACCAGTGAACCAGTGAAAAGCAGGACTAGAGATACGTCTCAAGTGGTAGAGCACTAACCCAGCAAGCGCCAGGCCCTGAGTCCAAACCCACATGCACCAAAAACAAAAACAAAAACAAATTGGGAGAATGACAATACTGCATCACACAGTTCCTTGATGCTGACCCCCTGACAGACTCTAAAACCTGCGACTGCTCATGGCCACATGGTACAGTGCTGTGATGTCTGCCTACCACCCACCCACGCCCTCCAGCATACTTCCTGTCACCCGTTACTTGGAACCATACACGATGTATTGCAGAGATGTTCATTATACTTCAGAGTTTAGTTTCTTTCTTGTTTAAGTACAAGGAAACATCTCTACATGTTAGGTGTGTCGATATAATATTTTCCCAAATATTTTCAGTCTGTGGTTGGTGGAATCTCCAGAATTCAAGGATATTGTGGGCAAACTTATAATTGTTGTATTACAAACAACTATAAATATGTTATATATGTATTTATTTATGTATACGCATATACATATGAGTAATGTTTACATATATTCCTATGTGCATGGAACGCTTTTATGTTGATTAAATTATCTACCGTGGTTACTTCATTTATTGAATCATTGCTGTTTGGCACACTTGGTGTTTAAATCTCAGAGAATCCTTGTAATGACCCCATGGTTCAAGTACATTCTTGGCCCTGCCCCACGTGAGGGGCTTCTAGGTGATTGCCTCGTAATCACCCAGCCTGAAATGTGGCACAAGGCTAATAGTATTTGAATAAATTAAATAACAGAAATGTAACATTAACATTAGCCTGCTTGTGCTCAGGCACAAGCATAAATCCCTTGGATAAAATTCCCCCATGATTCTCTTGGGTAGCTATGGTAACGATGACATCATTTGGGTCTATTTGTTATTGAGACCCTCTTGTTGCTACTTACATAGCTAAGATCAAATGGATTCCATTCAGATCCCACCTGGGCAAATTTGAAAGACTCCTATGTCCAATTAACCAGCACAAACTAGAACTGAAGAATTTGCTCAAGTGGTAGAACACCAGTCTAGAGCCCATAAATGCTGAGGGAGAGAGTCAATGGGAGGCCCTGTCTTCAAGCCCCAGTTCCGGCACACACACAATAGTAACAACAACCATAACACTAATAATAACAATAACAATAATACATAATGAACCATTAGGTTTCTTTTTAGAAAATATCATTCACCGTAAACTCAAGACAAAAATGACCTTTCCTAACCTCCTTGGAGTCTCACATGGATTGCTGCCAGTACCCCATGTCAGCTGATCATGACTGTGTGAAGCACAGCGCCAGGAACTATTTGTATATTTGTCTGTGGACCAGATTACTATATTCCCAGCTAAGCCGGATCTCAGGAATGCTTTGTCAGTTATGGTTGTCTTGGCATTCTGCTTGACATGTGTGTGAATCATGGCAGTTGGTGTTGCTTAGGAAGAGATGGGGAGGAGGAGGTGCTGTGGCTCAAGTGGTAGAGCGCTAGCCTTGAGCTGAAGAGCTGAGGGACAGTGCCCAGGCCCAGAGTTCAGGCCCCACGACACACCAAAATAAAAAAAATGCTAGAAAGAGGGTGGAAGAGCTTGCTCCAGCTGACGCCTTTACAAGGAGCCAGAGACAGGAGTTCAGTGCAAGTGTGATCTGGTCCATTTGCCCTTCCACCTGCCCCTGTGGTTGATGTCACCTTGGAACTCAGCCTCAGTGTCTCTCAGTGCATGATCCTTGGCTCTCAACTTACCCGCCAGGTGCCAGGTGCCTGCCAGGTGCCGGTTGGGTGTCCTTGTCAGTCACATCCTATCCTCTGTGGGGAGAGAGTTCATTCATGCTGACCTCGCGGTCGCCCCCAGATCGCTCCTGGGGGAGGGGCTTAAGGGGGTGCCCCCCTGCTTTGCTGACATCACTTTCTCCCTTTTCCTCTCTCTCTTTTGCTCCCAGTTTCACTCGTCCTGGAAGAGGCTCGTGGCTCGGTAAAGGTGGCCCAGACGCGGGACCCGAGCCGTCCGTTATTTCTCTGGAAAACTTAGTGTTTGGAGCTGGATACTGCAAGCCCACTTCCTCAGAGGTACTGTCTGCACGGGCCACAGGCCCATCCCCTGCGAACCTTAGGAGTTGCAGGGAGTGTAGGGGGTGGGGGCTGGGCTCGCCTATTTTCCTTTGATTCTGCCAGCTCACCATGCTCTGTACCATGCAACGCAGAGCTGGACCACATCCGTGCATTGCATTTGTCTGTTGCATAGATTATAATGTCCCCAGTGAGTCGGGATACAGGGAGCACTCTGCCCAGCTCTTCCCACCTGGAGATGTGTCCAGTTGGTCCGGTTACTGCCTAACCGTCCTTGTCTTCGTCATGGCAACATCTCTCGAACACACTGCCAATGCCAAGCCCTGGGGTGGGCGCAGGGTGTGTGGCCCACCCGTGGTGCCCTTTGGAGACCTTGGCTCTCTGGAGGTGGGACTTCCCTCCGACTCTGGGGTGACACCCAAGGTTTGCTGGCGTCAGTCTGTTCCGCCTTCTAAATCTTGTGCCTTCTTTTATCTGCTTCCTCCCTGTGCATCAGTGCCCGCACCTGCAGTGGATTGCTAACAGTGAACAATCTCATGGGCAGTTATGTGTATCCAAAGTTGTAGTGACTGGAAAAAATGTTAAGCAAGTACCTGGCGCTCATTAGTTGATGAATAAATATGCCCATCCGGTCCTCTCTGCCCCTCCGTGGGTGGCCACCCTTCTGTGATGGGCGGGCTGCGCTCACACACAGCATGCCTGTCTGTGTCTCTCCTAAGCTGATCTGTGGTAGGTTTTGATTAGTGGCTTGCTCAGGAATAACCAGACTGTGTTACTCAGGACTAACCAGAGAATGGATGGGAGGTTTCCCTTCCTTCTCAGAAGGAATTGGTTCATACTGGTTACAGAGGCTGGGGAGTATCCGAATCTGCATTGGGCTATCTTGGAGGGAGCCTGTTAGCAGGGCATAGACCTATCTCTATCTCTACCTGTGCCCTACCCTGGTAACAGGGCCAGATGAGAAGCCTCTCCACTCTCATGGCTGGCAGCAGAGCCTTCATCTTGCAATGAGTGTGTGGTACACTCCTAGCATCCTTCCCAGTGTCTTTATGATGTCTTCTGGGCCCTGGAAGAAGCCTATGCTGGGAACTCCTCACAGTCAGGCTCTCCCGCTACCCAGATCTTTCTTTTAAAACCCACAACACAGTGGTCCCAAGATGCCTTCCTCTGAGCTGGAGTCTTCCTCTCAGACTGTTTTCTGGGTGACGGCCTGGGTGGTTAATGACTGTCTCAATTCAAGGAATTTTTAATACTGCCTCCCACAGGAAGGTCCTTAGCTGCCAAAGTATATGACAGAGTGATCATAAACTCTCTGCCCTGGAGGAGCTCGGGTGCCCAGCTCCGTGCAGAGCCGGCCAGGCCTGCTCCCGTGCAGCTGGAAGTCACACTGAGCTCCTGAGAAGCGAGACTTGCTTGCATGTGCTCTGGGGATCCCCGGCTCTTCTGCACCAGGCCTCCGTGCAGAGACCATCTCCTTCCGTCTTCTCCCCCAGGGCCCTGCACCTGCTGACTGCAAGGCATGCAAACGAATGTGAGCTGAATGAATGTTTGGTGCACGTATATGAATCATGCTTAGGTACGGAGCTCAATGACCAGAGAGTTAAACCACAAGGCTATCTGGTGGTTTCCTGTGGCAGCAGACAGAAATGAATGAGAGCCAGTGTAAAATGATGGATGTCTCCATATAAGGTTTTCCTGGGAGACTGCAGAGACCAGAGACCTGGACAGAATGGGACGGTGTGCATTGTAGATCATGTCAGCCATCACCCTGCGTTCCTGAGGATCTATGATGTACCTGGTCACGCCCTGCTGAACTCTGTCTTCATGTTGCTTGGGCGGGGGAGGGGGGGGGGAAGGCGGGGTTCCAATGCCTGCTCTGATGGATTCCGTGTGACTTTGGGGGAATGTAGCCCTGAGGAAAATCAGTTTCTACCGCTGTGAAACTTCATTTCTGTGTATGTGAAAACCATGACAGACATAGATTTGGCTGGCCCATGGTATTGTGTAGTGTCATTTTTTTCTGTCTTTTTTCTTCTGGGGACATGCCTGTCTTTCTTAAGAATAGAAAAAGATGGAGTGTTTGTGAGGGCTTGATTTAGACCTGCTCACAGCCCATAGCTGGACGGATTTGTCTCAGGATTCTGCTCTGTTCCTGTGCACTTTCCAAGGGAGTACTGTCAGAGTGTGTGGACTCTGCGCAGGCACCCACCCTGGGCCTTCCCAAGAGCCAGGGCTGCCAAGAAGAGAACACAACCCACTCCCCACCCCCGCGAGAGCCCCGCCCCCGCCCCCGCCGTCCCTAGAATTAGCACACAGCTCTGGAATCTGGGCAGCTGGAGAGATTAGAGGGCAGTGCTGCCCAATAAGCCATTCCTGGCAGAGGTGTCTGCAAACCCAGAGCTGGGTGACAAAAAATTCCCCGGGAAGCGGGGGATGACAGTGTGAACTGTGATCCGCCCCCCCTCCGCAGCTCCTCCCTCCCTCCCAGTGCTCCTTGGGCGGCTAGACTTGGGGGTTCAGAGTTGGTAAAGGGTCGTGTTCCTTCTTTTCTCAAGCAGTGGCTGTGCACTCTGGGAATTACGTGTGCCCTCTGACTCTCGGCTTATCTCGCCAAGGACACTAGCCCCACAGGGCTGCCAAGAGGATTAAATGAAATCATGTTCTATAGCCTGGCCCTAAAGCCCCAAGAGAACCTTCTGTGGATATTATTGTCCCTTTCATTTATCTGCATCCCAAGACCCCGTGTGGCCACAGCAGCCTGGGGTTTTCTTGTAAGTGGAGAAGTGAATGAAGAGCCTGAACTGCAGCTTTGTTCTTGGCTTCAACGTTCACCAGCTCTGTGACCCTGGCACAACCATTTGCCTTCTCTGGGCCTTGGTTTTCCAAGGTGTAGGAAGGTGATTGGCTGGGATCTTCCAGCCCTTTCTCTGCTGCTTTTACCTTGATCTCCCTGACACTGCTGCAGAAAGCAGGACAGTGAGCACAAAATGAGGTACCCACCTTACTATCCAGGGAAGCAGGCCCCCGGGTTTGTAGGCATCCCCCACTAGACCATATTCATGTGTGTCTATAAAATCGACAGTTAAAGCTGGAATTTTTAACTCTAGTCTAGAATTCCAAAATTTTCTGAGTAGACGGGAAGGCTGGGGTCCCAGGGAAGAGTTATATTGAGGTACAGGGGTTAGGGTGGTGGGGTGTGGGTAGGTCAGTCCTTTACCACCAAGAATTTTCAACTGATTTTTGAGGCTTGTCTTTACTATGGAAAGACATCTGCTTTCCTCCAAGGCCAAGTATTCCCATATTGAACTCTTCTGAAGAAAGCCTTCACTGCACCACTTAGAGTGTTTGACCCAGTAGCTAGAGGCGGTGGCGTGGCCACGTTGATTCCTAGAGTAACCATCGTCTCTGAAAAAACCCCAGGATCTGTGAGACTCCGCTGCAGATTGAGTCCAGTGACTCAGAAAATCCCATCTCTTCCCCAGGCTGTCCGTTTCCTTTCTTGTCGCTGATACTTGGGGGTGGTGAGGCCTCGGGGTTCAGGTGGGAGGTGTGCTCTCTGTGTCTCTCATGCCTGCCTCCTCTCCTGCCCTCCCTGCCCGACCCCTCCACAGCTTCAAGACATGAAGTGTTGGGATTGGCCTGTCCTCTACTGCGTGTTAGTACCTACGTCCTGCTTAGCCAATTGTCCTGAGCAAGTCCCGGTGAAACAAAGGAAGGATTAGAAAAATCACCATGAGCAGTGTGTGCCTGGGTGCTGGTCACTTCACATCACACCTGTAAACACCGCGTGCATATGATGCCTTCAGTCCAGGCAAGGCTCACCTGATACAGAGAGGTTAAGTGAGTTTCTGCAGTTGAGCAGCGAGGTCAGGGCCATGCCAGGATTGTCACACGCCCATGGGACTGAGGCAGCCTTCCCGCGCGCTGCTGCCGGCTGCCGCGTTCATGAGTAACTAGCTCCCACATCACTTCTACCACTCTGCCTTCCCCTGGCTCTAAGGTTTCTGCCTGCCTGATGCGCTCGGGGAGCCTCTGTTGAATGAGTGAGTGAAGAAGTCTGTGGACCTGGGGTACCTCGGGGCGGGGGAGCAGAGGCTGGTGAAGGTGGAGCACAGGCGTGGCATGCTGTGGAGATCCCAGGTGCATGCTGTGGAGACCACAGGTGCATGCTGTGGAGATCACAGGTACATGCTGTGGAGATCACAGGTGTGGCTTGCTGTGGAGACCACAGGTCCATGCTGTGGAGATCACAGGTGCATGCTGTGGAGATCACAGGCGAGGCTTGCTGTGGAGATCCCAGGTACATGCTGTGGAGATCACAGGTGCATGCTGTGGAGATCACAGGTGCATGCTGTGGAGATCACAGGTGCATGCTGTGGAGATCCCAGGTGCATGCTGTGGAGACCACAGGTGCATGCTGTGGAGACCACAGGTGCATGCTGTGGAGACCACAGGTGCATGCTGTGGAGATCACAGGTGCATGCTGTGGAGATCACAGGTGCATGCTGTGGAGATCCCAGGTGCATGCTGTGGAGACCACAGGTGCATGCTGTGGAGACCACAGGTGCATGCTGTGGAGATCACAGGTGCATGCTGTGGAGATCACAGGTGCATGCTGTGGAGATCACAGGTACATGCTGTGGAGATCACAGGTGTGGCATGCCGTGGAGATCACAGGTACATGCTGTGGAGACCACAGTTGCAAGCTGTGGAGATCACAGGTGTGGCATGCTGTGGAGATCTCAGGTATGACAAGCTGTGGAGATCACAAGTGCATGCTGTGGAGATCTCAGGTGCATGCTGTGGAGATCTCAGGTGCATGCTGTGGAGATCACAGACGGTCCATGCTGTAGAGATCACAGGTGCATGGCATGGAGACCACAGGCATTGTATGCTGTGGAGATCACAGGCATGGCATGCTGTGGAGATCTCAGGTGCATGCTGTGGAGATCACAGGCATGGCATGCTGTGGAGATCTCAGGTGCATGCTGTGGAGATCA